GCTTGTAGATCGGGGAGGTACTCCATTACTCACATGTTCTGGAGGTCAATACTAGAGAAGAAGACACGGAAATGGGCTCCGAGGTTTTTGCGCTGGTGTATATTGGACGGAATGCACGGATTTCTGTTTCGCATCGTCTTTGAAGTTAGTCCAGTTTCGGAAATGGTCGCGCTGAAATCTACATACCTGGTATGGAAATCGCTCTTTTGCATCGATATATTCAGGGGCGGGACAGTGGTGGGCTGCTATGGTGGACAGATGTTCGCATAGATACTTTGACCAGCTAACCCAAATCTTGTTATTAGATCGGCTGGCATGGGTAGCAAAGTGGACCTGGTGGTAGTCACGTCTCACAAGCACTTTCTAGCTTGTCGGTCCACAACGTAATTACAGTATAGATGTCAGTACAGTGGAAATCCAGTAGGTCAAAGGGAAGAACTTATCAGGTGCCTCAAACCGAAGGCCTCGACTCTGCATAGCCAAGTGATAGTATTGGAGAACAAATTGCTGGGAGCAGAGGACGTATTTATAGGCTTCTCGGCTCCTGTCGCGTACGTGCTCTATTAGGGAGCAAACGTTGAAGGACACGACGCCTATCCCAAGTGAGGCCTGTTGCGACCCATGCCTTCGTTCTACCGCAACTATTTGCAGCGGAATTCTGGTGTCATTTTAGATGCCCAGCGAGAAAAATGTGCTAGAGTCATGTTGAAAATGAGTCAAAGTGAGTCGGTTAAGAAACGTTGGCTCACTGTTGAATCTACGGTCTTCATATTGAGGCACTGGAGGCTGATCAATATTGGATTTTACCAAGAGCGCTCACATTGTCATCACCAAGAACCATGGATTTTTTCCGGCCTCGCCTGAGTGTTGGTTGTCTGAGCTGTGTGTTGTTCGGTCCGTCTACACTGCGGAAAGTGTCAGGCCACGGTCGCGCGGGCGCGGGTGCTCGATCGTCAACGCGTTGAAGCTTGGCCGTCCTTGTTGACTGGAGTCAACTTTTGAACTTATGACCAGTGTTGAAATACGTTGTTCTTTCGATTTTCTTGTTCGGTCCTCTAGATTTTACTCTATTTACTTTTGGGATTTCTGAGCCTCCAACGAATGTGGGAAAAGTGTCGTGATTGAATATATATCTCTTGGACCGTTCATCACCAGTGAGCCACTAAACATGAGGTACATTCACCAACCATCAACACAGCGAGGCTTGATTACCAGCACCATCATCAAAGAGATTGCCAAGTCTGTATATCCGGCCTATAAAAGGTATCATGGATTGATGGACGTGCTATTGCCCAGACCCTCGACTTCCTCCTACGGACAAAATGGATGCCCCGAACAGCACGCCAGACCAGGAAAAAGAAGGAGAACAGCAGCCCAGTGAATTGCCAATCCTTTGTGAAAAAGACAATTCACAGGAAGCTTGTGGTCATGTCCCTCCATCGGTAAGTGGAACAAATCAGCTTCCAATGCTTTAGCTGACCATTGCAGCTCTCTCCCTCGCAACAGGAAGCAGAAACAAGACATACGTTTGCGACCGAGCCCTTTCAACCCATCTTGAAGGTGCTAGCAGACCTCGAACGCGACGATCCCAAGTTCGCCTTTCCAGCAGCTCGACTTGTTGGACTCTATCGACGTCTCTGGGAGTCCTGTGTTTCCAAGCATATCGATGGCCAGAAGCTAGAGCAAAGCAATCAGATCTTGAAGGAGGCTGGCACACACCTGCTTAAAGAGAGGGACGGTCTTCAGCTTCGCCACGACAAGCAGCTGTCTCGGCTGCGCTTCTTCGAGCAGGCACTGGAATCATCTCGGGGTCCACTGATTAGGGTACTCGATGACTGGAATCACCCTTCCAGACTCAATCTGGCAGGGCTGCCAGACATGGCAAGAGAAGAGTGAAGGATTGTATATTCTTGATTGTCCTATGTCTTTTACAATGTGGAAAGTATCCAACGATGTATCCAACGATGTCGCAATGAAGTTACCGCATGGGAAGCAGCTTATATCGTTTCGAGAATTCATATTATAGCCTTTGTGGAATGTGTCTGCGAATAATCCCGCATGTTCTAGTGTCGCTTTTATTAACCCAATATATTATAAACAAAAATACGGATCCAGTGACAATGTGGGCAGTGTAGCTAGCGGAGAAAGTGTCGACTGAATCGGCCATCTCGCATTACATCACGAGAGCCACCGGAAGTAGATGTCGCTAGCTCTTACAGACCACCAAACCTTCTCCTCGGAGACCGCTTCGACAATGTTTGAGGAGTGTTGTCGTCTCCCATGCTGCTTCGAATGGCCCTCTGGATACAATCGTCTCTTGCTAGGACCAGCGATCTCTTCAAACTGAAGTTTTTCAGTCTGGGATTGACCACAAGTGCATCAACAATCGAGGAATGCCCACCCTTGACCGCCAACATCAATGGATCCTCAGACCATCGATTTCTGAGGTTGACATCGATTCGATCATGGCGTAGTAGTGCCTGGACCATCTCCAAGTCACCGCCACGGGCGGCCATGCAGAGAGTAGTGTCGTGAGTTGCGATCGTGCTTTCATTGATGTTCAGACGTGCGCCTTGTTGCACTAAAAGTTTTACCACATCGAGATGGCCGTGCGCAACCGCTCGACAAATGGGCGGATCTATTGAATCCCTTCCATTGATCTCCACGCCCTCCATACTCAGTAGACAAGCAACTGTGTTCACGCGTCCGTGATATGCGGCCACGGAGATTGGAGAGTGGCCTGCAACGCAGAGATTCAGACTGATCCCTGGCACCGCAAGCAGCCGTCGTAGGAGCACAGTATCCAATCTGACCGCGGCGTGGTGGAGAGATGTAGACGGCGTCTCGAATCTCCCGCGGCCTCCAACAAAATTAACGCTGATGTCTTTCTCGGCCAACAGCCTTTCGGTTATCCCGTCGCATGACGAGTAAATCGACAGCCACAGTGGCGTATTGCCATGTTTGTCTTTGCAGTTCACGTTGGCACGGGGGTGACTTAGGAGCAAATTGACCATTTCCAAGCGTTTGTTTTGAACGGCGAGATGGAGCGCCGTAGAGCCTTTTCGGTTCTGGATGTCCAAATCCAGATCTTTTTGCCTGAGAAGTCTTTTGACAGCCTCTACTGACCCATAGGCCACTGCTTGGTGAAGAGGTAGCTCAGCCTCTTGTGATGATTTGGTAC